ATTCTTTGGGCTAATCTGCACTGGCTCGGAAGGTTGTAAATGATTAGCTAGTTTGAATTTGCATAACAATACTGACAATGAACGTGCATTCAACGCCACAAGTTTTTTTGTTTTTTTAGCCAATCAGAATTCATCTTCCGAGCCAGTGCAGATCAGCCGCATTCTTTGGGAGCTCTCCTGTGATTGGCACTTGTCAGTCAATCTAATTGCTAATAAAAAATGCTTTAGTATTATGTGCATAGTGTTTGTAACACAAGTCCTGACTGGTAAACTGAATTAAACAAAAATGATGTAATTATTATTATTATGATTACATACATGCATATCAAATTAACAGAGAAAAAATAAACCAAATTCTATCACAATCATTATTAGAAACTATTAATATACTGCCTTAATGCTAATTCTTATTGAATGATGATGTCATATTCTTTTCTTTGTTTACTAATTTTCAAGATGGATGGGAGAATGTAATAACGCACAGGCATGGTAAGACGTTAGAAAAAAGTGTGACTTGATAATTTTAATAAATTTCTCTTCACTACTTTTCCATTGCCTTAGTGTGTTCAATGTTATAGCTTTGGTGTTGTTTTTTTTCTGCTTTCATTGCCTTGATCATATCATACGTAATGCTTATTTTGGTGTTCATCAGGTGTACAGACGAAAAGGTTCGAACGTGACTCTTTCTTTTGAATCTCGTACCTGACACTCTGTGTGGTTTATAGAAATTATTCTTGAAATTGAAGTTTTTTGAGATGGCTGGAGATTACGACAAAACCATGTAGTTTTATCAGCCTATTTTTGTTAAGAGCAAGTAAAGACAAGTTATTGTCTTCGCTGTAAGTCGGGACCAGTGGGCTCTCTAACAGGACTGATTTTGTAGAAATCCTGAGTCAAAATAAAATCCCCTAAATCATACAGAATATGGAAACCACAGGTTTTGGAAAATGTTCTCCAAGGCAAGGCTCCATTAGTTTTGCTATGTTTGTGGTACTGTGCATGTATGTTTGTTTGTTTGTTTGTTGTTGTGGTATAATGGTTTAAACTTAT